TAGTTTGTCAATTTCTTTCAAACTAGTACAATATTTCTATTAATATAACTAACTACCAGTATCAATTTTGGATAGCAAAAAAATTTTGAAAGAAATGTCTTCATATTGATTCTGTTAAAATGGAAGTGGTCACTATTGATATGATAAGATATACTCTCATCAGCAGTTGCTTCTGTTTTCTTGTAATGTGCTACAATGTGTTTTGTGAATACGAAATATATAATATGGCGAGATAAGCTGTCATATTTTCAGACGTTCATGAATCTGGACCCTGGCTCATGCTTACACAATAACATTAGTATGATAGAACTTCAATTATCCATCAGGGTATGAGACTGAAACTGTGACAGGTAATAGAATATTTACATTTGAAACAACTTAAATGCAATAAACTGAATTTTCTAACTTGTTTAGGTTATGTAATTTACATTGATCTAGTAATGACATGAAATTTAAAAGAAAGTAGTATTAAGTAATTTATAAAAAGCCAAATCACACAGCCAAATTTCTTATACAGTAGAACCTCTATTATCCGGACTAATTAGGGATGAAGGTAGTCCGGATAAGGAAAAATCAGGATAATCGAAACAAATACTTTAATTTGTCTTTTAATGATAATACAACATGTTTTCTTTTCGATGACATATCGGTAATATTAAAAGTAAATACTGTATTTAAATCGTGATCAAATTTTCAAGAAACAAACGTTCGTATTGAATTTGGACTACTACTGACCAACGCTAACAGACTACCTATTGTTTAAAAGGCCCTCTGGTGGCGCAAGAAGACGGATTTTATAAAATAAAAAGCAGTTGAAACTGCATTTTTATGAATAAAAATTTGACAAACTATTTATCGTTTTATGACGAGTAAAATTTTTTCGTCGCGTTCGCGGCTTTTAAGTAATGCATAAACCTTCGAGGCGCGAGGCCCTTCGGACCGCGAGGCATAGGCGGTGGCCCACGTCGTCCATGCCTTACGCCGCCCTTGGTCATAGAAATGATGTAATTTGAATATAAATTATTTATAAATACGTATGTCAAGTTATATTTTTATTACTACGTAAAATATATTTAAGAGTTTACGACCACTGTGCTGGGTGAGACGTTGTTGAAACAAAAAAAGTTATGCATTCCATCACGTACATAAACAGTGTCGTAATTCGCCAAGTGAAAATCAGCAAATTCGTAAAATTTTTGTTTATTTTGAACAATCCGGATAATCGAAAATCCGGATAATGGAGATCCAGATAATGGAGGTTCTACTGTATTTCTGTTTCTCAAAGCCTTCAGAAGTCATGTTATGAATTTTATGTAAAAGTAACACTATATATTGGGTACGTTTGTAAAGTCAAACGAGTTAAATGAGAATAACATCATTGTTATTCTTATTTCGTTAGACTTTCTGAACGATTCGTGTATAACTAAATGGCTGTTTCTAAAATCAAAGATATGAATGTTACTAGTGCAGCCTTATCCGAAATATTTTTCTTAGATTGCTTCGGGTGGACAGTTATTTCATCATTTCACCTTTTAATTCACAGTTTAAACACTTGAGTAGATTTAGAAACATTGATATCATTGGGTGCCATTTTCTTAACGAAGTGAACTAACTCTTTCCTTCGTGAACTTCGTTAGAGTTTCATTTGAAAAGTCATCACCGCAGAGCATGCACACTGAGCGAGACTACTACTATTCGAACGATTCGTTACTAACATGTTTAACTTGTTCGACTTTACGAATGTACCCATTATAGCATCTGTTGTTCTTTGGGCAATTGGATTCCTTTTAATGGTATAATTTTAGCTTTTGGTAGCTAATTATGGTTTTGCATCTGTTAACTTCTTTGTCTTCCTCATTTTTGTTTTGGTTTCTATATTTAGTTAGGTTGCCAGATGTCCAGGGATTCTGACTGCTGTCTAGTGATAGGATGACTATTCTGAAAATTGTTCCTACAGTGAAATATCTTTTTCTTTTTCTGCATTTTAAATGTGTTTCTGTCACCGGCAGAGTTAAAAATACACATCCTGCATGTGTTGGAATTGAAGTACAACTTATATAAACATGCTAATAATGAAGTGATAAACTGACTTATCAATTTTACAACACCAATAAGTCAAATTATCATTTCGTTATTAATATTTCAATATGCATCATGCTTCTTTTAAAGCATATTACAGATGTATATTCAAATGTTGCACTGCCAGGAGTTAGGTAGGTGGGTGATATGTATATCTTTATGTAGTTTTAAATAGAAGGATGAACCCATCGATAATAGTACATTCTGATTCCCGAATTGATAAAAGCAATGGGTTAATGGTTGAGCAATTTTTATTTATTTATTTTTTAATTATTGAAAATTACATAGTTTTATGGAATGTATTCAAACCTAAACTTTGTGGTGATGTTTCACTCAATTGTGTTAATTCTCTGACAGTCACATGAAAAAAATACAATGCAAATAGCTATGTGGTGTCTGTGCAAAGCCAGTTCTTAATTAAAAATTTGGAAAAGATACTATCGCACAAAAATACAAATAAAAATTTCATTTCCAGCACTTCCGATGCTTCTATACACACACATATAATATATATAAAACATTTACATATTGATAGTTATTAATTTTATAAATATTCTTATGTAATACAATCATAGTTGATCATTCACAATATGATCATGTAAGTTACCTAGCTTCTGCGAGAAACCAAGCAGTTTTTTCTGAGAAATGATAAAGCTAATTTTTATTTTATCAAAGAGCATAATAGCCTTATTTTTAGGAAAGTAGCAATCTCAGTAATTCGTTTTCATTTTAAAGCACTTGGAGTCCCACAGAAGCCACACAATTAAGTTAAACATAACAATACAAGGTAAGGAAGGATGCATTGACTATTTCTATCCCTTGAGTAACACAAGAGAATGTTTTAATTTAAAATTTTGGTGTAGTCTGTATGCATAAATATCATGCAAATATGCATATAAAACCGGCAATCTGTGTATGTAACAAACATGGTCATTAGAGTGAAAACAAAACTAAGAAGTTACGCGGCAGCAATGTTAGTTAGTTAGTTGAAATTAATAAAAGGATGCATCATGGATGAGTGGGAGAGATTTATGGTTGGATAGAGCTATAGAAAAAAAGATTAAGAGAAGAAAAACAATGCTATTAATACTTCTACTGATTTTTATATAGTAAGTTTTTTTTCCTCTTTCAAAGAAGAGATGATTGCCTTAGAAAAGCAGTAGAAGGATTACATGAAAATGTGGAGCAAGTAATCAGAAATTTTTATTTAATAAAAATACAGAAGATACAAAAAGTCAACAAAGTCTTCAACTTTTTGTATCGTCTGTATTTTTATATTTTTTGTATTTTATTAAATATAATTACCATCAGCCAACTTCAAATGAACTGTCAGAAGTTTTCAATTGATAGTTTGTTCGCGTATTCTATTATGAATAGGATTCCTATTGAATCTGATTCAAAGCCTGTAACTTAATAAAAGAGACTGTTTGAAAACTGATATTTGCAAATTTATGATGAGTTTTATATAAAATTTTATTATGAACTTAGTAAAGATAATGACTGAACACTTGAAATGGTTTCCAACGGTTTTTTCTTGTGCAAAATGTCATCATATCCCTGCGACAAACACGACACAACTCGAAATTTCAATTATATGAACTATGCATCTGTTCTGTAAGAAACAAAGCAAACAAATTGCAAATATAGTTTAAAACTAGAGCTACATTTGCAATTTGTTTTCTATTTGAAAAATATACATTTTTTTTTTCAAAACAAATGCATAAAAAACTTAATTGAAAATGTGGAGATACAATGCAGTATTTTGAAAGTTATGACAAATATAGATAGATATTAGCTACAATTAACATCATTTGGTAAAGTAGAAAATATTCAGTATGTACTGTTACACTGCTCTTTATGCAGCAGGCATAAAATTATTCTTTGAAAAAAAGAACATTGTGTTTGGAAAACCTAGAAAATTCAGGGAATTCCAAACTTCCAAAAAATTAGCCACCATAGTAATGAAATAAGGAGTGTTAAGAAATGCTTTTGTTACAATTATGCAACTTCACAGACAATTAGTGCACTCCAGTGATGTGATGATAAACAGATAAGAGGTTTTACTGAATGTTTTTTTTTTTAAGAATGTTATCAAAAAATACTAATCAACTGAAGACGACAGTATCGGTCGAAGTGCATTTAAATTGAGTAAAGTTTTGTCTACTCGTTGACAGTAAATAGAATTGTATCAAAAATTATATTTTAAAGGAGATAATGAATTCTCATTCTCTGTAATATTAAATTATTCCTGTATTAAACACCTCTTCTTACATATATATGTATATAATGATTTTGGTTTTTAACAAATTTATATTGCAATTAAAAAATTTTGAATTGTTTAAACTAAGATTAATCTCAAATTATCAAACTTAACCATACTTTGCTTTATTGGTGGTCTCAAACACTTATATTAAGCCCGAGCACTTATAATTCTTTTGGTTCACCATCGGAGAGCATATATCTGAGACAGAAAATACTGTTTAGAACACCGAAAACCTTTTAAACTTAAAGCATATTCTAAAATCTTAATGAATATCAAATCACAAGCAGGCGAATCATCTCATTTATTTCTACAGATTTATACTTCCAATGATGATTTGAAAGTTTCAAAAGTTTTCGGGACTTGATGTAACTATTTGGGTTCTTCGTTAAAGCAGAATATGGTTAAGTATTTTATAATATTTCAATTATTTCTTTCAAAATGCTCTGTCATATTATCTCGCTCGGTAATTTTAAATTTATTTAATAAAATAGCTCTAACACAGCACTAAAAGTATTAATATTTCTTGTCTTATAACTGAGAACTTAATTATTATTTTACTTGTTTTGTGCCTAATAAATAAATGTTATGATAATTAACTTTTACATTTAATTTAAAAATTTTTACGTAGGAAAAAATAATAACTTATTTATTTATTTAGGAAGTGATAAACCACTGTCTCCAAGACTGACGCTTAAGTTTCAGTCTATTAGATCAAGGAATGAAAAGATATCTGGAGGATATAAAACTAATGACATCAATTCATCGTATCTTAAATATCCTTCTTATTATGTTACAATGGAAACCAAAAGTGATGTATATGAATTCCGCAAAGATGATGGCTCTGTGTCTTCCACTCATAGTTCCACTTCCACATCTGACTGTGACTTATACGACCCTAAATTAGATGTTGTAACTAGTAGTAGCAGCCAAGATATAGAAAATAATTCATTTATGAAAGACAATAAGAAAACTGCCGACGAGACGGGGAACGGTGAAGTAGTGAATCGTAACGAGAAGGCCGACAATTCGGATTCTGGAAGATTAAATGGTAATCGTGTATCTTCCGATAGTAATACTAAGGAATATGATTGCAGCAGTGAAATGGAAAAGGAAGAAAGTAGACGTAAAAGAAGAAAAAGCAATGATAACGCTAATATAAATAGACATAATCATCCTTCTGTCGGTGTTCAGCGATATCATAGAAGTCAAGGAAATAGGGTTAATCACCAATCTGAAGGACATTCGGAACAGAGAAGTCCGAAATCTAAAAAACGAGGAAGTATCTCCAGTTCTGAAACAGAGAGTAATCATAGTGAAGGTGAAAACGAGGCACAGGAACGTACTTTCTCTAGTGACGTAACTTCTTTGTCTCAGAACGGAAACTCTGTTCCTCATTCACCTAAGGTTCCTCCTTTAAAAATTGTAATTCCGTCTGGTTCAGGATCGTTGGAATCAGAAACGAGGGAAAGAAGTAAAGTGTCTTCTTCCAAGCAAGCTTTGCCTTATGTTGTTAATACAGCTGCCGAATCTTCAGAAAGTGGTTGTGTAGAATCATCGACAAATAATTCTGTTCAGCCTGAAAATTCTAAGGAAACTAAATCTGAAGTATCATCTACAAAATCAAAGGATGAATCGCATCCTCCAGAAGAACGCTTCCAGAGAGTGACTAGGAGTAGTCATCGTATTCAGGCAGCTTTAGCGGGTACTTCAACCAACAATCATGCATCTAATGACCCAAATCCTCATTCGCAAATGGTGTCTTCCAGTGCCCAAAAGGGAGAACTATCCGGTGATAGTTCGACAGACGAACATAATCAACAGCAAGCCGAGGTACATCCTCGTAAAAGAAAACTAAGGCAGCGAGAAAATGCTTCAGAAAACACACAGCAACCTTCGTCGTCGTCGTCATTTTCGTCGACAACAACATTGACTTTAGAGGATCCGCAGCAGCAATCGCAGTTGTTAAATTGTTATCAGATGTATCTGAATATAAGGAAACAGGTAAAGATTTTTTAATTTTTTAAAATATATTTAAATTAATATTAATTTTGTCTGTTTTAAAAATACTTTAATTAATAATTACAATAAAACAAAGCTTACTGTAGCAAAATAGAAAAAGTAATGATTTAAAAAATTAAAAGATAAATTAAGAATATTGATAATTATTAATTTCTTATAAGGCCAAATTCAATGAATGTTAATAATTAAAGGATATTATAGTTCAATAAGAATCCAGACTATTGTTTGTTTGATAATTATTAAGCAGCCAAATAATCCTCTCCCATCCAACTGGAAACTATAATATAATAAAACACTGCCTTAGGCTATGTCCTACATGGCAACATCCAGCAACTACGGCAGAAAGAATTTTTGTATATGCTTCCAGCTTGTGAGTGACCTCTGTCCAGAGTGGAGACATGTTTACAAAATGGCGGTGAGACGACTTCTTTCAATGCTTGCCATGGATAACAGTTTCTATATTGTTTTACCAAAATGTCTTACAGGCAAAAGACACACTATATTTATAAGAAATGTCATCAGTTCTGTGAATCACGAAATTAAAGATGATCCAGCTTTTCTTCTTTGCAAGCGTGAGCAGTGGAAACCAAACTTGCTTGGTAGCTGCTTTCAGCACGTGTGTAGAAGCATCATCTGGTGGTCACTGCATGCTAAATGGGGTTACTCCGGACATGCATATTTGCTTGTATTGGTTTGCCTGCTCTGCTGGGTAGTGAGTTCATGTCTGTGGTCACTGGATGCTGCCACAGGACGTACCCTTTGACTTTCAGGTCTCCGTATTCTATTGGATTTTGGAGAATGTTTTTTTTTTTTTATTTTTTATAATGTAAAATCTTTGGAATGTTTGTAAAAATGCATTTGTCCTCAGATGTTCCATTTACAGTTTGTTCTAATGTAATATATGATTCAATTTCACCTGATGATCAATTAATGCAATCAAAAATATTAGTGTGATATTGTGAAACAACACCTTAGACTTTCAGCAATGCAGTGTTAAAACATGCATTGCTGAAAGTCTAAGGTGTTGTTTCATTGTGTTAAGTGGCCAAATTTTGCTAAAGATAATAGTTATAACTGGTGGATACGTGTCTTTGAATCGCTGACGTTTGAAGAACCACACCACTAGGTTGTCAACTACAGTATTTGCCAGCAAATAAGATGTTTTTCCCAAAAAATACTGTCTGGAAATGAGATTCATCTTATACAATAGCCAATATATGATATATCGTTATTATTTTTTTTTTTTCAAAAAATGTCTTTAGAAATGGGGTGCACTGGGTCTTTAGAAATGGGGTATACTGCAAAATAAAATTCGCCATCCTTACTAAGGCCTTACACATGTGTGAGAAATCCATTATTAAGAGCATGGTATAAATTTTCAATATAAGATAATATGACCTCATAAATCCTTAACCTGTAAGTACAGTATTTATTCAACTTAATTAAAATACAAACAAACCAGAGAGAACACCAAACTTAAACATATTATAGAATATAATAAAAATAAAAGTAACCATAAGATTAATCATATAAAATTTTGTGGTTAACTTATGCAAGTAAATAAATTTTTTATAAATAAGTTATCTGTAGTGCCAGCTGATAAAACAAAATAAAAATTGTAATAATGAAAATGGAAAAATATGAAAAAGTAAAATTTGATTTAGTTTCATCAATCCAGCAGTCACATATAAATATTATTTCAGGTAAAACTTATTTTTTTTGAATTTTTAACATATATAAATAATTTTACTAATTTATTTACGCAGCTTTTTTACATTGTAGGACCAAACGGGGCAACTATCCTGACATGCATATTTATTCTGTTGTACATAATAAAGTCTCTTTTATTCATCAAATAGTGTTATTGTATGATAAATCCTACACAAATTTTCTGCTTATTCCAAAAGAATATAAAAATAGCATTATGTAATTTATGGATGATTCTTTAGACCCATGATAAATTTCAGAAAAAGAACCAATGACGTCAAACAGCGGATACAAATTTTAGAATCGGAATTAGAAAATATAGTATATTTCATATAACTAAAAATTTGATTTACAATACAATGTTCCAAATCTTGACAAGAACACAATTTTAAAATTAATTTAGACATCCATTTAAAGTGGAATTCAAAATATTCAGAAGAACTTAAATATCATTAATGCAACACCGGAGTGTAGTAAATTAACAAAATCTTCAAACCTGTTACTGGTGTGTTCTCCCATGATGACAAAAATGAAAAAAAAAAATAAATAATAATAATAAAACGAACTTAAATATGATAAAACAACCAATCACAAAACCTGATATATCTTTAAATGTCCAAAAGTTTCCCACAGACTTCGTATAGTAATTTCCAAGTGTTAGGAGCCTTTTCGATTTTTCAAAATTAATACACGTCTTGTATGGCAGACTTATAAATAGAGATGTTAGAACACACAATACATATAAGTCCTTGATCTCCCTTACTGGATATATCATTTTACTCTCCTTCCACATTCCCTCCATTCTTATCTATAGATTGCTAATGCTGTCAAAAACAATATCTTTTTCTATTGTGTACACACGTTCTTCAATTCCCATATTCGACGTTGTGGCTGTTGAGACTACACAGCAGAATCCCGTATAATGCATGGGATATGTTGTACATTATATTTAATTATGCTATCAATATGTGCATTATAAAATGATTTTATTCAAGTTAAACTTGAATAAAATCATTTTATAATGCACATATTTTATAATGCACATAAACTAAGCCTAGAAGTTGAAAAAGAAAACGTATACCCATGGATAACAAAATTAGAATTTTGTATGAGTACTAGTCACAATTTTTTCATCGTATTATATGAATTCAGATTACAGGAGGAATGCATTATACGGGAGTTCACTGTATGTTCCTTTGCTTTCAATTTCATTGCTTCTTGGGTATTTTGAAGTAGTCGGAAGACAATGAGTATTCTCCTGTAGCAAATCTTGTTACCTGTCTGTTTATGTATGCTCCTAAGTTGCCTGTTGTATGTAGCTATTACTATTGGTCCTTTGAAATTTCTATATGAAGTATGTGGACAACTTCAGGATATTTAAAGCTTTGAGATAATTTTTTTTGAGAATATTAATTGCATTAAAATTTACTTAGCTTATGTCTGGGACTAAATATATATATAAGTTTAGAGAACTTGGACACTTACTACACAAATTTATAATATAATAACAGAAAGTATTAACAATGTGAAATAATAAATGATCAGTGTAATATTTTGAAGGTTGATAAAAGAAGAAGTACAATGTTTGTGGTACATCCGAAACCGCCACAAGGATTTAAAGATTACTTACTAAATAGGTGTTCGTACGTGTTGGAAGGAAATGCAGCGAGTCGTTTAAATGTGCCAATGGTAAGTCGCATTTTGATTCTAAGTTTGTAAACTTTCGAAATGCATTATGAGAAATGTTCATTTATTTCAGCATAAAATTTTTAAAATAATTTTACAAGTAACACAGTCTTAACTGTAAAAATAATGAATTGATGTCAGGCAGTTAGCATTTGACACGCATTTTCCGAGATGAAAGACTAAATTATACTTGCCAATTGTAAATTTAGTTAGGAATGACACCCTGCCAGTTGTAAATGTATTTAAGAGTGATATCCCGCCAACTGTATATATACTATCAAGGATCGTTTAGCAGTTTAGATACATCTGTACTTATACAAGTTAGAAAATTATATTAATATCTGCATATAATTAATTAAAATATCGTATTTTATAAGAAAATCAAAACTTTTTGGCTTTAAAACGCTCATAAACATAATTATGAGCGATTATTTGCATAATTGGGGGCTAGTTTGAATACATCGCTGTCGACATTCATGCCGAAACATAACAGGGAATTATACTAATATCTGTGTATAATTGCTTAAAATATTGATTATTTTTAGCATAATTTATAAAAAAAAACAAGTTTTTTCTACTCAAAAGAAAATCACTCGTAAGTGTAATTAGAAGCAATTGGGGGGGCATAACTGCATAAATGATATTAAGAATTGTTAGCAGTTTATATGCAGATTAACGTTATCTATAGTAAAATATAATAAGGAATTTAGGAAATAATAAGAAAAATTTCCGTGTACAATAACTTAACAGATTAATTTAAACTAGAATTTACGAGATAAATCAAACTTTTTCTACTGAAAAAGAAACACCCTACCAAAGCGATATCAAACAGTGCAAAACAATATGATTTCTAGCACATGCAATACATTAATGCATATCTAATTACAGAGAAAATCTTTCTACATTATTCTGTATTAAGAAAATTAAATAGTAACAGTAATATCCGCCATCAAAATAGAAATTTCTCATTCAGATGAGAAAAATCGATATATCTCTGATGCATATAAAACAATTTTTTAAGAAGAATTTTAATGCTTTTTTAATCCATGCAATAATATTTTANTACCTCTACTCAAATTAGATAATTTATATTTAATTATTAATTAGTCTTATTATAGTCCAATAATATGGCAGATGAAGACAAATAATTTAATAATTCAGTAAAAAGATCTTCAGTTTAAAATTTTAATTTGGTGTTTTGGTAATAGTTATTAATCTCTATTTTTTAATAACAATAAAACAACAATCAAGCCAGTTCAACAGCAGGATAAATTTTGTGTTGGATGTTTACGGTCTACTTTATAGACCATCCCTGGGATTCTTCATTTCTCAGGACAAATTTGGAAATGTTTGACTCAAAATTAATCCTACTGTTAAATTGGTGTGGTCGTTACAATGTATATTCTTTCATAACAATAAAATGCCAGAGAACTTATATAAGCCAGATGAAACACACAGTTATTAATAGACAAACAATTGCTTTATTGGAATTCAAGCTATTAGAATATTTGTGTAACTTACATAGGCCTAATCAAATAAATTAGTTATAGAAACTTAAAAATGTAGACTTTGGATTATCAAATTTCTGGCACTCATTTCTATGCCCTTGCTTCTATGAGAAATTTGTCTTTGTGTTGTTAACATTTTTGTTGCATTAAGATGAATAAATAAACAACCCTACTACCCAATGTAAAGCAATAACTCCCCAACCACTGCCGTAAATCATTGGTCTATAATTTGGAATAAATAATTATAAATAATAAATGAATTTGGTACTAGAAGGAGACGTTAGGTCCTTTTGCGCCAATTCTTTTCTTCCAAGTTTAATCTAAATTATTTAATTAAATATTATAATTATTCATTTTAATACAAGATGGCGTCTAAAGCCTCCCTCTAGTGCCAAATTCATTTATTATTTATAATTATTTATTCCAAATTATAGCCCGATGATTACAGCAGTGGTTGGGGAGTTATTGCAATAAGATGATCAAAAAAGTTTTTTTGATTATCTTCGACTAATTACATTCCAGGCAGAAATGTAGTGAAGACATTTCTATTGTTGGATTGTACGGATTGTGTACACACAACCTGGTTTTAACAGTGAGGTTCCGTGATTGGACAGGTATTTCAGATTGAGATTGAAGATAATCTTTTGCATGTCTGAAAGGTGTGTGAAATTTCACTTGGAGAGAGAAGAGAGACCATGGTGTTTGGTCACCAATTGATAATGTCGTACCACTTGATTCAATGATGAAGAAAGAACGTTAGTGTCGGTTTTTCTATATTTTTAATTACAATATACGTACATTGTTTGTTACACTTCGGTATCGAACCGTACAATTGAAAGTCCCATTATATTCTCATTGGCTGCTTGTTGGAAAGTTTGTCCTTGGTAGTCACTAGTCAGAGAGAGTGAGTAGTTTGAAGTTCATTTTTGGCTACTTTTTTGCTTGTGCCCTCTATTGGACTGAATCAGCACATTGCTGATGGGTACCACAAGACCAATTGAGGAGGTTAGACCACTGTTGCAGCGAAAATTTGTTTGCATGTAAGAAAGTGAATAAATTTTATCTAAACAAATGTTGGACTTCCCTACAATGTTGGACAATTCCTACGGTCTGTTACCATGGTGGCCAAACTATGGGTTGCAAACCACAAATAGCTCTTCTAGACCCTTACTGTGGCTCCTGTACAGCCTACTTATATAATTTCTTTTTATAAACTTAAACTTTATATATATAATACTGTTCTAATAGAGAATGCAGTTTTTGCATATTTCTGATAAGCAATCTTTGGTTCCTATATTGACAAGGTTTGAGCACCACTGGTCTATATTACATCTTGTTCTAGGCTCCTCCTGTAAATACATAAAGTATGTGCTATTTTGACATTATCTTTGGCATTTAGATCTTTCAAGGTTTTGACGTGTCACAAAAAATTTTAACATTTTTATCCATTGTTGTTAAGGCCCCTTTGCTTATAATACAAATATGCTATTATTGTATCCATCCTCCAATTTCCTTTTTGTCACTCCTGTGTGTGTGTTTTCTTTCTAAGTTTATTTGTGATATGCAATAGACTCCACTTCTCATAATCTCATTTCTGTTTTGTCTCTGAATATGTTTACAAAGATCATCTTTTTAAAGAATACATTTAAATAGTTTAATGGACCAAGAACAAGGGTGTCTAAAAAGCTCGTTTTCATCCATTTTAACATTTAAAACTAAAGAGGAGCTGGTTAATGAGTTGGAAGGATATAATGTGGCAATGAAAGATTTCAGAAGAGAAATACATCAAAAATTGCTTTATATGTACTTTAGGTATGTCAGTCAAATACTGTTGTATCACGATTTAATTCACTCATTGGATTTCTAGTGTAGACACAAATTGCAAAATAAAATACAGTAATTATAAAAATTGCATGTTATTTATATAAACTTTACATATAATTGAATTCTTCATAAAAATAAATCTGTTTATTTTAGATTCCTCCACCTCAGTCGTTGAATGGTTCAATAAAAGAATTATTTATTCAGCAAGAAAAGGAACGTTATAAATTAAGACTGCAACATCTTATTGAAAGAGTAAGTTGTTATAATTCGAAAATTTTTTAAATTCGAAATTAAAGAAATTTTCATACTTAAAGCCGGTGCAATAATGCAATTTGTGAAAGACGCACGCTGTTTACTATTTGACTTTTATAATCTCTAAGCTAGAATGTTTGTATTCATCTCTGTTTTCTGTGTAATTTAATTTACCACACTGAAAATGAGAATTATAAGTGTTTTGAGGAATGGATAGATTTGTCTGGTGATTGTACGAGACTTGAATATGAATAGGTCTTGTATGATCACCAGACATTTCTATTATTATTGCTAATTCTTTATCTATCAATGCCACCGTTAGCAATAACATTAGTGTTTAACACCTCTATTATCATTTTGTAAATATAGCTTACATCAAATTGTTTAAACCTTTGGCTTTAAAGGCTCTTTCAATAGTCAAAATAACAAAGCCTAAGAAGGAAGTAAATTCATAATTTATCACCTTTTTGGGCTGTGCCAAAGCTAATTCAAAAGTGGGTATAACTTTATGTACTGATATAGATTGTTCAGTTTGCATTTGTTGATAGAGTAACTTTTCCTCTATACAAAGATAAAATTCAACATTATCTCCATTACAAATGAAGCATTTACAGATTATTAAATGCAGTTCTGGATACATTTGAAATAGTTTTTTTCTGTTTTCTTCACTGGACTTAAATATTTTGGTGTTTTATTATAAAACTGAAAAACTGCAATTGTAGTTACTATTGTAAGAATTTCACACCTCAGTAGTTGGGGCAGTTCTCCCTTAAGCTGCCTTTGTATACTTCCATTGATAAATTCCGTTGAGATCTTCAATGTGTTTACATGATTAGTCTTGAAGAACCATATAATCGTCCTAGTTGCAAAAGATAACAGACAAAAATGTCGCTAATACATTTGTAATTAATTGTTATATCAAATGTTGCTTATTCTTAATCAGATAAATTTAGTAATATTAACCAGCTTAATCAGTTATTTATCTAATCACCTAAAAGAGGTTTTTGGACTAATAAACAAATTGTTATGTTCTTTACTGGAGTTCTTAGTAATTCTTGAACTCCAGTAAACAGTTGGATTAGGACATAACAATTTGTTTATTATTCCAAAACCTCTTTTAGTTGGTTAGCTAAATAGTTGCTTATTCTGTCTGGTTTTGATCTATATAATTTAACTTAGGTAGTATGAATTGATGTAGCTTCCCTATCTCTCACTTATGCTAACCAGTCCAGTGACTGCAGTTAGACCCACTTATAATGAGCAGAATTGCAATTGAAAATAATAATCTTGATGCATTGATGTCATATTGAAGTTAGTGAAATTAAAAGTATTATAGTGTGATGCTCTAGAAATGTTCTGAAACCCAATAAATTTGTTAATATTTAATATATTTTTTATATATAAAGGAAAAAATGATGATAATGAGGGGAAAGAAACCTTTTTTCAGAAATATGACAAAAGAAGACTACATAATGTAAGTCCCAAGATCAACTGTCTCCGGTTGGGATTGAATTAAATGTTGATCACATTATGCTTAGTAATGAGTGACCGACCACTTAAAAAGTGAGAACGAGGAAAAGGTGACCAATCAGAATGAGCAATCAGGGACAAAATAATAAAAACCCCAAACTTCAAGGTCATAATGGCTTCTTTTCCTGAAAATTCCAAGTATCAGACCATTTATTTTGTGTGTCTTGTGCCAGTCTTTCTCTCCATCTCTCTTCCTTGGATCAGCATCTTCCCATCACCAGAAGTAACCTGCATTGTTCCAGAGCTGTCAAGACATTAAGGGAATTCTCACTTACAAACCAAGGATACTCCTTCATTTGGGACTATTTTGGAAAGGAAGACTCAGAGACCACCACTGACTTCGAGCTTCCAAGATCATGGAAATCTTTTAAGCATCTTTTGTGTCAAATAAACAGTTTGTTGTAATCATTGAGTCTATATCAGTGCCAGTAGCACTCATATAACAATCCTCTGGACCCCTTATCTTGACCATTGCACTCACTATTGGAAACCTCATAATAGTAAGTATGACATGAACACATTAAGACTGTGGCCAACCACAATTTTGCTCATTGTAAGTGGACCTAACTGCAACATGGATGAGGGACTGGGAAAGATTCTTTGAACGATGCTGTTTGTTGTCAAAACAATTTATAATAAACAATCAAAATAAAATCATATCATTATTTATATGAAAATAATAATTAGTATGAAAGTTTCAAATAAAATTTTAAGTAAATTGATCATTTAAAAAAATGTATATATTTGTTAAATTAAATTATTTTATCAATAAATAAAAGTGAAGTAATGTATGAATTATGGAACAAATTTCATAAATTTGATTTCTTTTCCTTTTGTTTTTGCTTGCAGGAGAAATTAGTTCTCTCGGCTGAACAAGAAATTCTCCGTGTTCATGGCAGAGCAGCAAGAGCAATGGCAAATCAGACAGTCCCTTTCTCTGCTTGTAGCATTCTTAAAGATGAGGAAATATATAATGTACTAGAATTTGAACAGGTATTATTTTTTTTAAATTACAAACAATATTATTATTACAGAATCTTAATGACAGTTTTCTAGGAACTACAGCAGAGCATCGATTATCTGACCCCCGATCAACCGTCACATCGGTTAACGCGTTCTAGTCGGCAAATTCAAATGCCCGCTAGTGATGTGGTGCTACAATATTTGGCCATGTCTTGGCTACTTTAATATTATTTTTGTTAAATTTTGTGTGTTTTAGCTGGTAACACTGTCTCAACCATGAAAGGGAGGCCACTATTTAAACGAGGCTTAATTTTCTAATTTTTAACGATACAATAGCGACGATTATTATTAAAAAATTTTTTTGTTAGGCTTAACATCGATGAAAATTCAACACGAAGTAGGTTAATAGCGATATACTAATATACTATGCTAATAATATATTTTTTCATACTTTTCGGTTATCCATTTTTTCAGTTATCCGACCAACCCCAGTCCCCAATTGAGTCGGATAATCAATGCTCTACTGTAATTAATAAGCCATTCCTTTTCCTTTCGGCTCAATGTCATAAATTGAGAATACATTCTTAGAAAGTACAGTTTGAACTATACTTATGTAACAATAAACTAAGCTGATGGTTCCCAAACTGTGCTTCATAGCACCTCCTGGATGCAATGGACAGCATAGCCATCATTTCATTTATTTGTTTATATTTTTTAATTATAATATCAGTACATCAATTACTGTTAAGTAGAAAGAATGCTATTTAGCCTAGATTTACTTCCTCTGAAAAATTTACATACAAATACAACATAAGGATATATATAACTGTCAGTATGAAGTACTCACTTTCTGCTTTGTGACAGTGAGGGTCCCAAGGTCAACAAACATTTCCAGTTGGAATCAAAATTGGCATTGACTTAATTGTCAATGTCAAACCATTTTCATGATTGAAATGGTCTCTAATTACACTTAGAAACAAATGGGAGGTAAATCAAATTGCGAGGAAGAGTGTTTGAAACCAACTGGAATGTTCCATCAAAGGACCAAATTTTTTTAAAACCTGTGTTGGGAACTTTTTCCAACACTAACCACTCATTATTCTTCTATGTGCTAGGGACTTTCTTTTCCTTATGAACTATAATTTGTATTTCCTCTGGAGCTCTAAACCTATTCAATATCTTGCTGGAAGGATGAATGTCAAAGCAGAAACACTCCACCAGCAAACTGTTGTATTGTAATCATAAAAAAGAAACAGAGGTAGTGTATGTCTCACTCTCACTGGAATAAACATTCCAATGACAGTGAGATATACACTATTAGAATGAGAATAAGTCAGACTTAGAAAAGAATTCATTCATTCCTCCTGAACTACTACTACTAGTACTACTACACAATGTTAGTGACCTTTTCAATCTCACCATCTGGATTCCAACACTTCATATCTTGATAGCAGATATGATGTCACATAGTTGCATGATCCTCACATAATGCTGGAGTTTGTAGTAGGTAAATGTTCAGAATGTGTGTCCTTTACATCGTGTGATGTTATGATTTATCTTCCTAAGTCTACTTCTTGTAAGTAAAGTTTTCGTTTGCTCCAGTATTTGCATATTTCAGATCCACTGATTGTTAAGTAGGTAAAACCACTGAACACTGAAGTTGGTTGTGGGATCACAAGTACAGTAATACCTCGACATATTCGAATCCGGAGTTACACGATTTTCAAATCTTGTCAATTCGTCTTTTGTTTGAGCACCATACAACTTTTGATTACTCACTCCCCCACACTATTGTTCAGCTTACATGTTTGGATGTGTCGTGCAGAATCGACACATAGCTCCAATTTATTTTGTGTTATTGATTTCTGTGTTTGTTATATCTACGGAGACTCGAGAGACTCTATGTGGTGATTTCTTGTAACCGTGAACAAATCAAAAGACGAGATAAGATTAATGAGAACATTTATTAGCTTACATACATCCGACTTGGAGTTTACACAAATTGCGAAATTATACCCCGACTTACGCGGTTATCGCTTGGTCCCACCTATCGTGTAAGCTCGGGGTATTACTGTAATCTGAATTTTCTTCACTTGTCTAACACCTAAATAGAGACCAGTTTTTCCAGACACACTATTTTGACAGATTGTCAACAAAACATTCAATTCTTTCTCATTTTCTCAAAATATCTTTCCAAGGAAATTTGATAGGACAAAGACAATCTTTAAATTCCCACATGAATAACAAATAAATTTTCAATTATACATTTATTTAACATAAACCGATAAGATAATGTCAAAAACTTACCGAAATGTATTCTTTAAAAAGAATGTGTATGTTCATATGTTCTATTGCATTCTGTATCTATATAATATAACAAATGGCACTCTAATTACACTTAAAAACAAGTGATTATGTAAAAACTGTTAGTAACAAGTTTTTATTTTTCTTTATAGGACGATAAAGATAAAACTGTAAGATCTAGATATAACGGTAGACTCTTTCTATCTTGGTTACAAGACGTCGACGACAAATGGGAAAAAATTAAGGTAATCTACCTATCTTAATATATAGGGTCTTCCAAAAAGAATTTGACCATTTTAAATTATTGCCTGAGAACATTGTAATGAGAAAGTGTGAAACTTGGACAGTTTTCCAACATTTTAATGTACATTACAATTTCTCAACACATGCACCTTGTGTTGCAGGGCACATATCCAACTCAAATTCTTCCTATGCTTGCTATGGCATATCTATTGTTACTCTTCTCATAGCAACTACAATTCTACAACTCTTGTAGATTACTCATGTTACATGATGAGTGATTCTGACTTTGCCAACCACAGAACACAAAATGCCTTCTCTGTTTCAGTCGCCATTTTCATTTATGTCACTTCCTAGAAGTAGTGGACGACAAGACATTTGAATGCATACGGGAGATGAAACCCAGACAGTTACTCTATCGATTGGTGTACATTGCAATGTAGAAGTTGTACAGTTCTACAGCTCTTGCAGCTGTAGAATTGCTGCTGACGAGGGAGGGGTGACAGTGGATATGCCAGAGTGAATGTAAGAAGAACTTGAGTATCAGTTTGATGTGTGCTGAAAAAGTAAAATGAGACAGTGTTTTCATAATTGAATATATTTACAGGAAGCCATGTTACTTCGTCACCACAATGAAGCAGAGTCATTACATGCCGTTCAGAAATTAGACTGGGAGTGGAAATTGAAAGAATTAGGACTGTGTGATGTGAAAACTATTCCAGCCATTGACGATATTTATGTGCCCATAGTACACGTCAGTGACGATTTCGATCTACTGCCTGCATAACTGTGCCTCAAAATAAACCATTTTCTCAAATTATAATAATCCTCATGCTAAAAAATGTGAGATTGACAAACTGATAAACATTTTTATAGAATTCCTAATATCATAACTTAGTGATTTCCAACTTACTAATAAATCATTCTAATGTTCACATTTACGATAAAATTAGTTAATTATTCATATTTTTTTAATTAATTAATAACCTTTACGTATATTATTCCAATTAAAATTTTACCTAAGATGTGACTAACGAATAAAATTCTTAGATTAATTAGGTAAGTTTAACATAGAACTGTACATAGCGTCTTTATATTCATTTAACAGTTATGATCTCAATTGTAAGTTCTTTTGGATCGAATAGCAGGAAGGAAACATTGTCACGTTAATATTTTCAACAAAACGTTCTCATTGTGGCAATTTTTAAAATCTCTATAGACTAACCGATTATCATTTTGTAACCTCACTCCCAAGAATGACTTACCAGGTACGTTAGTGCAAACGTGACTACGTCGTCTTCATATATTTTTTATCTTAATTAGCTTCCATATTATATCAATGTGAAACAAGTTATGCAGTTTTTATTTTATAAATGGAATAAGTAGAGATCATAGCACATTGTACATATTTGTACAAATAGAAATTTGTATGTTAGCAACAAAACAGGCAAAGAAACTCGTGACGGAGGGATTCGTCATCTTTGGGATCTTTCCACGTTCGACATTTGGAGTCAAATCGCTTCAGCAATTAGTTATTAGAAGATGCAGGCAAAGCCTTGTTTACTGTAAGTTATATTTTTAATATTTTGTTTTGTGTTCTTTTTTTGAATTGTACTCAAAGTAGTTTTCAAAACTTTATACTCCTCCTATTTAAAGATAAGGAATTTAAATTTTTTTTGTTTTGATATCAATGGAAACATTATTATTTTTGCAATTAGAATTTTATGCTGTAAAATATATGACATACAGACAAGAATTTACATTAAATATGATCATTTAGTTCTGAGATCTAAAAAGTAATATTCAAAATAGCGATTTCTTTAATGAATGAAAAACTTTTATCATATACTCAATTATAAATTCAGAAAAATTTAGAAACATTTTGAGCTTATTAGGCTCAAAATGTTTCTAAAAATACATTATTTTATATATATGCAAAAAATTAAATTCTCATCACTCATTAAAAAGTAATGGATTCTAACGCCACATCAAATAATAAGGATGTTGGCCAGCATAATTGCCGTAAGTGAGGTACTGAGTGTTGCAGTTGTTCAATTTAAATATGAATGCCGTGGCGTTCTATCTTTGATTGTATGTATTGTCGGCCTCTAATGCAAAAATGTGAATTTCTGGCGGAAGTATTATCATTTTATCAATATAATTTTTACAGATTTTTTTAAAATTTCATTTTTCATTTGCCAAGTTTCCTTAATCGAGATACAATTTGATAAATTGTGAACAAATCATTCGTTTTTGTAGATTTGTGTTTGCCAATAAATTGTAGGAATGTTGCAAAAGGGCGATGAGGACATTTTGCACCGCTCGTTCTTGTCATTGTAACAGTTTAACATGTAATGATCTGTTGCTAAATATTAGAAATAAAATGTAGAAATTAGTTTTTTTTTTTTTTTTGTTTTGTCTGCGTCTTGATGAACTCTTATCTTTCATCTTTATTTCTGTAGTAACAATATCTTTTTAATACTTGCTTATTGCATCAACTTGCAATGACAAAACTTTTAACCAGTCATACAAATTAATTCCCTAAAATTCAGACTTTTATATTAAATCAAATGATATTGTCACATTAAGTTTAAGCTATAAGTTGATTAATTTCTATTTATTATATTACATAATTTGGATTAAAGGTAAGCAGTTAGGCTGTCTTACTAACACGTCTTCATGTTTGACTCCCACCACGGATCAATCTTTTCTTCCAGAATAGCCTAAATTAATAAAATAGCCAGAAAGAGTTTTAAAAATGCAAAAAGTCTTCATGTTCTATCCAATTTCATCAGGGTATTTTATTAAATTTAATAAAAGTTGGCAGCCTAATCACGGACCTTAATAAATATGATGTGACTCTGACAAGTGTTAATTAGCCAAGAGTTACTTTGATTATAATCAATCACCAAGTGAATTTGAGCTAGAAGTCTGACTGTATATATAAATGAATCATTACACCAGAATCCAGGATGTTAATTTGTCAATAAAACAAAGAACAAGTCCAGAATATTTTCTGGACTTGCAGTTACCAGAAAAGATCCAGTGATAATTGGCATTTGCAATTACCCCTTTTCTTCACCAATTTGCTTCAAGCAATTTTTTTTTGTAAGGCAAAAAATCAAAAACACCACAAAACATATGAGGAATTGGTGATGATTTTCAATGTATTGTCAAGGAAGTACATTAATCGATGCAACAAACTATCAAATAAAACGGGGACTTGCAAAGTTTTCCAATGTCACAAGCCTGCCGTGGTCATTATTCCCACACTACGTGCCACAAGAAGCTCTTAAATATCGAACATTTATTTACCATGGACTCGAGACAATACTTGCTTTACAAAGGCCAAAATTTGATTTCGTTCATAGCTTTATGAACAGAGTTATATGATGATCCAGTCTCTACAGACAAATGCTTTGTGTATGAACATTTCAAATTTACATAATCCTTCTGTAGCATAAAGCATTTCTGGCTATTTCCAAAATTTATTTTTGATGATAATAACAAGCTAACACTAAGTTTGGGAATTGACAACAGGCAGCTATCACAGACTCTTGGCATCGCCAAACCTCTCTTGCTGCTGTTTTTAAGTTCACATTTTGTTTGATCACCTGTATAATTTCCATGCATACTAACTTCTTAACATATTATGTAAATGTGCATTAATTTTTTTGTGTATTGATTTAAAATAAATATACTGTACATCAGTTATTAATTCTAGAATTACTCAAACATTTTATCATACATTTTTTTTAATTCAACTTACATCTTAAAGTTAGAGAACAAGAAAAGACAAATTTTAACGAGTTGATTTCATAAGATAATTAGCAGAAACTATAGAAAGATATGGAGCAAATCAAAAATTTGTATCGATCTAGATGTTAATTTTAAGAAATTATTGAATTGAAATTGCCAAATGTATAGAGTTAACCCACTTACATATTTTATCATTAAAATTATATTTGTCTCATTTGTTGGTATATCAATGTTAGTGTACCAATATCGGTACATAATTTAAACTATTTACATTGGATGATATTTTAAGGAACACTAAAATAGAACAGTTTTTTTTAAACTGGCAATGAAGACTTTTAAAAACTTTAACTCTTTCTGCCTTGTGGGCACTAAGAGGGCCTGTTTTAACAAACCCATTATGGGTTCGGCCAAGCCCACAATGGGGTGGCCGGGTGGTGAGGGATGGGGGCCAACATATCTGGTCGGACCATTTCTGGGGATTTATCAACCCATCTGGATTCAATCCCATGTCCCCCAGAGCAGTAGGCTGCCACCTTGACTGCTCAGCCCTCAACAATGAAGACTGGATGGTATTAAAGTCATTGTCTGCAGTCTATCCTGAATACGTTGAACCATGTTATTGGATGACGACTTTAATTTGACTAAATGGCGAGGTGTCAAAGTTATCACCCAATCATGATTGATGAAATGATATTCTCTTGGATTAAGTTTATTTTTAGTTATTATTATATAACTAAATTAACAACTTCTCTCTAAAGCTTGTTTCTGTTTTACCTAGTTAAGTAACTTAGCATTTCTTAGGCATAGAATAAAATGAAATTCAACTAAAAAATATAACAGTGAGCATCAATATCATTTTCAAGTCACAAATTATTTAACATTTGACAATCTCAATTTATAGATATACTAGAATTATTCGAAAGAATTTAATTTTAAAGCGTAAATTTTTGATTTGTTCCATGTGCAGTAACTCAATCAATTCCACAATCTGACCGAAGTGTCCCACGAACAGGTGGCCACGGCCATTCCGTTATCGGATATGCTAAGAGAAGTGATGCGATTGTCGTGTCCGGAGAGCATAGCTACAAAATTTAAAAAGCAAAATTTTAGTTTTTATGTAACAGTCACATTACACTTTTAAGTCATGCATCAGGAACCACTCTATATGAATAATACTTTCATGAGAACTAATATTTCAACACAATAAATGCTCTGACTATACTGACCGTTATGTTTACTCTTGAGAGTATCCCAGATGTGAATGTTGGTATCGTCGGAACCGCAGAGTACCAGTCTTCCGCTGGTCGAGAGACCGCAAGAGGTGAAGCCACTGTTGGGAGAGGGCGGTTTATAATGTCCTATTTGCTGATCCGCACGAATGTCGAACAATCTGGAACTCTTATCCTCGGATCCGGTTGCAAAATAATAACCACTTTTGTGAAACTGTAATTAATTGCAAAAATACAAAGTTTTTTTTATTTCCTCATCAAGAAATTCTTAATAAAAGTAGATAAAATATTATACACTGTGGAGCTTTGAAAAAATAAGAACAATTGTTTGTGCCTGTTTACATGCTTTTGGAAGATTATGGTCAACACATTTCCTCATTTTTCATCTCCAACCATAAATTATTACTTATCATCTTTCTTGTGCTGTAGGAATACAGTTAAATCAGGCAGAATAGACCTCTCTCTACTGATTCTTCCCTCTGATCTTCCGACATTAAAATCTAGGTGAAAATTTACTTGTTATAGAAAGGCATGCTTAGAAAACTTGTATAAGATAAACCTAGAAACAGGGCTGTGCAGATGGAAAGTGCACTGAAGGTTCCCAAAACATTCCATGTTTCGATTTTTATTTAATATTTACTAAATTTGTTCCTCGTTTTGTACTATAATTATCTTATTTCCTGATAGATAATGCAATTCATTTTTAGTACATAAAATACATTTCTACAGAATTACTAAGCTGTATTTTGTATGTAAAATTAACATTTGGACAGATTAAAAATGAAATTATATCATAGGATAAATATCAATAGCTAACTTTAGATCTCGAATGGAGCACTACTTACACACACGGAATTAACGTCGGAGTCGTGCCCCCAAAACGTCTGTCGACAGTTATCTTCTCTCAAATCCCATAACTGCAATAAAAAAAACTTATTTCATTAAAAACATTATTTTTATTTTTCTTTATAATACCAAAAAAAAAAAAATCAAGCACTTCATGGCTTAAATAATTACAAATTGATTTTAAACATTTAAAAATTTCTCTTGAGCTTAAAGAATTAGTTTCTATGGCTAGTTCTGTATTCCCGTGGATGAGTTGTTAAGTTGAAAAGCTCTCAAACGTTTTTATTTATTACTCTATTAAATTCAAACTCAGCTAAATTGCTTTTATGTATAAGAAATAACATTTTATTAAATTTTAACCAACTTGCATGCAAATAAGTTTATTAACAACATGACAACTTTGAGACAAACAATCCTCTTGAGTATAATATTGTAAGATATGTAATTTTGATAATATCAGTTATGCATTATATTATCATGTGTGTACAACTGCTAAATATATTTACGTGATATTATAAGTTTTAAAAGAGAAAGTGATATGAAAAGTTCTCTCTTATGACCATTTCTATACATTTTTTATGGTATTACACCTGGTCATGCTAATAATTTTAACTATATTTACAAAGGTAACGACAGCCCGAGCTCCTCGTTACATTCGTTTATTTATTTATAAAGAAAACACTGAATGTGTATAGGGAAAAGACCTGAATGTGAACTCACTTATACATGTCTGGATTTACACCTGTATCACTGTAAATGAAAAGTAAATGTGGGCTTGCATATTCTAATTTGTGTCCCTAATAACCAGTAGTATAATTAGAACTGATATACAGTGGATTCTCGATCATTTCGGCATGACTTTGGGGGAAAAATCATCGTGTCTGCCCCTTGAAATTATCGTTCATCCATCTCGATCCTTTATACTTACGCCCTTTATCTGTAGAAATATTAACAAGGTTTGCCCTAATTCTCGTAAACATATTAGACCCCACTTTACAATGAAGTTTTCACGACTTTCCCTTATATGATGCAAAACGAACCTCCAAATGGGTTAAGCTAAAATTTACGTTTTTTCCATACAGTTTCAACATATCAAAAATTAAACACGTCCTTTATATATCGTACTTATTTCATATGCATAAAACCTTAGTTTTTCCGAATTTTTACAACCGTCTAAAACTTTTAGTCCACTCCTGGAGTGGTCACAACTCTCTATGCCTGACAAGTTCCAGTTCTGGGCATTTCACTAGATGGAAACTGTACTACATTAATACATTTCATTACATTTTGTACAGGTAGAAGCATGATGGCATTTCAACAGAACATTTGTTTGCACAGATCTGTTTTTCACATCAGCAGGTCTGAAAGTATGACAAAGGTGCATACAATAATTATCATACAGATGGCAACCTGAGATGATGATCTAATTTTTACCAGTGTTGCCAATAAAGTACAGTATTTTGTAAAGCTGTAGTCAGAGTTTAACTGTTAAATTTGAAGTGTTTTTATTTTTAGTACACGAAAACTAGTGTTTCGATTTAGTGCCCTGTGTTGTGAGTAAAACGATTGGGGCGGAATAACATTTTTCTTTCAGTTAATTTTTCCCGTGTTCTTCGTTCTGTATCTTAACATTATATATGGGTCCTTTTTTGGGACTGGAAAAAAACAACCGATAAATACGGATGAACGACAGATCGAGAATCCACTGTAATAGCATTTTCAGGAATGAGTGTCATATTTCCCATACTAGGAATCATTTAAATCATAAAAGCAGATGCTTACCTCTGTTAATAATAAATAATTTACATTAGATGGTATTTGAATGATAGTAAAGTCTGGTCGACGTTTACCTTGACAGATTTATCAACAGATCCTGTGATGAATACATTTTCCTGATGCAGCGACATGCTCATCACATCGCCTTCGTGACCTTCGAACTGTTTTATTTTTACTCCTTTCTCCAGATCCCATAGTATACTGAAAGATAAAAAAAAGTTATTATTCTGGATGACTGACAAGAAATGTACTCATTCAAATAACTCCTAGAGTCACTTTATATATTTTCCAAAAACATTCAGATTTATATTATTTATTGTGACACTGTCACAATGCCGGGCTGCAACTTTTAATTATATTTATTTAATTTAAAATATATGCTCTCCACCTCAAATTAGTAATGTCTTGTCCCCTGTACACATACTCTTCTTTTTGGCAGTAGTGTCATGCCGGTCATCTATATTACTCCTTTCGGGGGGAATTTTTGAATTGTAATAGCATGACTTCCGGTGCAAACCTGAAATTCGTATATAATCCGGGCCACCTTCCCCTAAGCTTTAGATATCTGGTCTCGAATTTTTTCTAACTCCGTTCTCGAGGTTAAGGACAGACAGGCAGATGACACTAGGAATTTATAGGTCTACAATTTATTTTTTCAAATTGCAGCCCAATTATTGGCTGAGTGAGACAAAGATTAAAGGTTTTAGTTTTGTTTACTTCTTACATTTGAGCCAAAATTATCTTGCACTTGACTGACCTTAAAAAATGTAAAAAAGTTGAACAATTTCTGCATGTTGTTTCATTAAAATTGTTACATAAATTTTAACTTGAATGGAAATTGATGATTTAGAACACTCCAAACCCCAGTCAAAGCTGAAAACTGTTAGAAATGATCCCTTCTTGGAGTCAAATATTTGAAATTCAAATGTTTTCGAGGCTCTATAGTTTTTCTTTTTAACACTTTCCACCCTATAGGTACTAAGAGGGCATGTTTTTCCTTATCCATTGTAGGTTGGGCCTAGTGCCAAGAGACTGGGAGAAACTTCCACGAAATATTCCTGGGGTTTTTCAAATATGTGGACCTGGCTACTTTTGGAATGTCCTACAGTTAATTATAATAAGTAATTTGGCAGGATTCAGAAAAAAGACTGAGTTTCATTTATTGAATATTAAATTATAACTTGATATACTTAAATTCATATTAATTTTGTACATGTATGTAATAATGCTTTGTAAAATTTCCATGATTAAATTAGAAGAACTAAATCTTTTCAAAGGTATGTTAACTATAAATTGTATAAGGAAATTTAATTAAGACACTGTATGTACAATACATTACTACCTACTTACATTTTCATATCTGCAGAACCCGTAATGAGTTTGTTATCGTCTACGAATCTGCAGCACGATAGAAATCCTTCGAATCCTGCCATTTCCCTACGTATTTTCGCCGATCCGCCTCTGCTATTGATGTCGTAGACCGTACACATGTTGTCCATTCCTCCGCAGGCTACGAAATTTCCCGAAGGTGCGTAAGCAGCAGTCATTACCCAACTAGATTGTAGAGTTATAATTTGCATCTGAAATTAATTTGTTATATTATAGCTCGAGTGATTTATACACTGAAAAGTATCGAAGCCTATTAAATTCAAAATTCCCATGCCAATTAAGATTTTGGCTTGCCAACTCGAGGATCTGGGTTTGAACCCATTTTGCCTCTTGTAATTTGGCATGGGCCGATGCATCGTTTTCTGTACTTCATCCACGCTGCCCGACTCCCATAATGGAGACAAACTTTCTACAACAATTTAAAATGGGCACAAACTCTAAATATAGTACAACAGTAAAATTCCATAATAGCTTTTATTATTGTGCATAACGAGAATTTCAACGTATATAATTAATTGAAATTTACCTTATTTCCTGTCCACGAATCCCATATAATTAATTTTCCATCGAGAGATCCGGAAACTAAATGTCTACACAAAAATGATAAGTTTAGAAGAATTTTCACTTTAACCAGTCAAATTTCGTGAAATTTACCTGTCGTCTCCGCTGAAATGTACGGCATTTACTTTAGACAAATGTCCCCTCATGATCTTCTTTATTCGAAGCTGTACTTTAGAAATGTCTCCCATGTTGCCGCATACGTCTTCTAAACTCTTATCTTTGGCTTCTGCTTGCGACTTCTAAATTTAAGAAATAATTCTGTAATAGATTTATTAGGACATCTGTACGGCCGAGCGGTTAATATGGCAGCATACAACTCTAGGAGACCCGGGATCTAATTTGAAAGGGTAGAAAAAAGTCGGATGGTAACACTATTCCGTACTCATATCAATCGGTCCGAATCGTAGGTAGAACCATTTTATTTCATATTATCGGACCGATAATATGAAATAAAATGGTTCAAATTCTTACAAGATATTATTATTATTTATTGTGAAAATTTGCCGCCCCTAAAAAGTGCCGCCCGGGGCGGACCGCCCCCCTATGCTACGCTACTGTTCTTCACACATTCCTTTGTAAACTACGTGTACATGTAGCTTGTCGGTGAACCTGACACTGTATTGCAAAGTTTCTCTATACAAAATGATAGAGAAATTTCAGACCTTTGGATCCAATAGAGAGGTTGCGGCCGACGTTTTCATCGGGAAAACGTGTACGTCAGACGTTCAGCGCCTTATTCCTGTAAGCCTAGAAGTTTAACAATGGAGTTTGGAACGTCGAGCATGATTCCACTGACGTTCCAAACGCCATTGTCAAACTTTTAGGCTTACAGGAATGCGGCGCTGAACGTCTGACGTACACGTTTTCCCGATGAAAACGTCGGCCGCAACCTAGCTAATATTTCTGGAACGGGTGGTCGGATCTAAAAACAAAAAGTTTATTGCACGTCTGAAGACTAACCCCTAATTCATTCAAATCCGTCCAGAAATGTAGGAATTCAGGTAATAAAAATGTTAACTTTTACCCCATTCTTAAACACAATGAACGAATGAATAAATAATGAGTACAACACTAAATTTCAATAAATTCTGTTAGACTATTTGGCTTTAACGTACACATCTTGTGGAATTAATTACGAGAGGAGAAATGCTTATAGAACGATAAAATGATCGCTATATATATACACATAAAAATATAAAACAAACGAAACTTTAATTATAAATTCGAAAACAAAACTCACTTTAATTTTATTTTTAAGTTGTTCTAATTCATCTTTTAGTTTTGTCATTTCTTCTTCTTCGACCTGAAAAGAAACAAAACGGCAGAATGCTTGTATTGTTAATAAATTAATTTTAAAAAATTCTTAATTACATATAAATCTCTGTACAACTGTGGACCTTGTGTGTCCATTACAGGCTATCGGGCCCAATGTCAGAACAAAACAAATCAAAAACATCGGCTGATACCTTAATCGCTACGGAAAAACCCCAGAAATACTCCGAAGGGTGTGGTCTGTATCGATTGCGTCGGGCCCCTCCCTCAGCGCTTCTATAGATGCTTCTCCTGGGCACATCACATGGCTGAAGCAACAATGAGCTTTACTCCTCCAGCCATCTTTCTAAACGGTAATTGACAAGACAATTCAGGGACTTAAAGAATCCTTCGAAAAATTTAAAAATCTAATTGCTAATATTTTAATAAAAATTAATGTTTAGAATGTTGTATTTAATTTTAAATTTGGACGTTGCGCGACCTTTTACTTGTTGGATATAGAAGAAGCGATCCTTTTACTTGCCGAAACGGAGAAGCAGCAATCTATGCAGATTGTTTTCTTCTTGTGTTTCGTTCGTATTTCGCATCTATTTTCCGCATTGCCGTGTTTATTTTTTAGGCTTAAATTCCGTTACGTGCGCTAAATCGCATCAGAGAGCACGAACACGTCATTTTTACTAACCCCTCTGTATATCGAAAAAGAATTCGCGGACCCTCATTGCCATTTTCCATTAACCGCCATGAAGTTTTACCAAAATCGGCCCATTAAATTTCGAGGACGAACCCAATCCTATAAAACTAGCGAACGACGAACGTTGTATTTCCTGTACGTTGAGTGCCAATAGTATGATTACATTCCTAGAAATGACAGTTTTAAACTATTCTTATGACCGAGGCGTTTAAGATAGTCTGCTGCTCTGGAGGACATTGAATGAAATCCTGTGTCCTCCAGAGCAGCAGGCTGATACCTTAATCGCTATGGAAAAACCCCAGAAATACTCCGAAGTGTGTGGTCTGTATCGATTGCGTCGGGCCCCCCTCACCATCCCGAAAAAAGGCCCTCTTATGCCTACAGGAACGAAAGAATGTGAAGTATTATATTAGTTTTTTTAAAGATACTAACAAACAATACATCAATTGTAAAGTGGTGAGGTCGTATAGCGGGAGAGCATTTACATATTCCTTAAAAAAAAATATGGACATTTCAAAATTAATTTGCGATTTTTTTAAAGTTAAAACGTCACTAGAAAACAAATTCTATACTTACAGCCATTTTTTTGTGATTACAGTAAGATGCGGACGAATATTCGTTAGTGGCTTCGTCCGCCGTCGTAAGCGGATGAAGAAAATTCAATTATGATTATTAGAATCGAAGAGGCTTCATTAAGTTTTCGAAGAAGCCAAACAATTTAAAAGAGAACTAAATAATCGCCATTTCCGAATAAATGCAGATTTTACGATAAAGCTTTTATATTTATTTAAGAAAAACTACAGACCGGATTCGAACTTGGATCCACACGCGCCTTTAATTCTAAATATAGAATATTGCTACACAATTATTACTTTTTTGCTTAAATATAATCGATATATTTTAAATTGTTTTAGATGTCTATGATTTTAAAATTTAAACGTATGACTAGAATTAAAATGGCGGTAATGGCACGAAAAGCGCGTGAGACTAACAAATTGAAATATACGTCACAGTTATTTGGCGAATCAGCTTCTCGTAAAGAACGTTCGTGCAATTACCGCCACCTCACGGCGTAAACTTTCAATTAAAATGATAAAACAATCGATAATATAGTTAAAAATTATATGAAATTATGTAGTGAAATTTTTACAAAATATTACCTCAAAACGATAGAAAATAAATTATATAATACCAAATAAATTTAGTTTTAAAAGTAATAAATTAAAACGTAATGTTTTAATATTAGTACGAATGAAGTAACGGGAGAAATGGGCGATCTGCCGGGAGGATTTTCTATGGGAAATTGCCTCCTATTTAGGTTAGACGCTTAAACAAAACCCGGAAAACCGCGAGGAGCGAACCCGCGACTAGTGCTATTTGGTTTATCCATTGGAATGGCAAAGGCAACAAATTGGTGTACAGTACTCTCGCTAATCCGGCACAACCTTCAGTACCGTATTTCTGCACATAAAAAAGCATTGTATTGCTCGATTTTCCGGATACTCGAACGTGAGGTTAAGGAAAAGTTGGACGACTTTCGATTATTCTACCATGTAAAAATTTTAGTAGGTAATAAAAGCTTAAAAGTAATTTTATTGATTGTAAAAATCTCCATTTAAATAAAAATATTTTTGTTTGTGGCGCAATCTGTTACGAAATGTTATTAAACATAACTTTTATATTATTAATTACTACGAAATGCTTAATTTTTTGGGCAAATAAGAGTTCTCGTTAGCATAGCAAAATTTCGAATCTACACAAGATATATAACACTTGAGCCCTATCTATCCACTCCCTTAAATTTTGACCTTTTAGGAATTTTAAATGTCGTGCAGAAGAAAAACAAAACCCGGAGGATCAAATCTCACGCGATTATAATACTTGCCCGTGTTATATGACAGGAGGGAAAGTAAAAGGCGAAACAAGTGATTCTTACACGTCGCACGCTGCTATGCACACGGAAATACGGTATGAACTTCCGTTTCCACTAAAATGGTAACGTCACACGTCACGATTTCCTGTATGATTTCTTTGCACAGAACTGCATACCAGCGTGACGTATTTATTCCTCACCTACTCCATGCCGAAGGGGGACAGGTTACGTCATTCGTTTAGCGACTTTTTAGGCCTGTACACTCAGTAATACGGCACCCTCTGCTAGGAATGACCGAATAATCGAAAGCCCACTGTATTTAGCAATTATTTTTGTTTCTGCACTGTTAATATTAAAATTTTTTATACTTATTCTCAGGGACTCTGAGGAATATAACTTCCATGAAATCCGAACGTCCCAATCTCCTCCGATTTGATCTTGACACTGTGATAACCCGAACATCAGCAGGTTAATGTCGTGGAACACTCAATTAGTTTTATGTTCAAATATCTCAGGATGAGGTAGGATTAAGGAACGAAATTTCGCATAGTAACTTGTTTATAAGGAGTATGCTACTAGATTTTGGTGTAAGGAACTCGAATAGGGTCAGACTTAATGAAGATTTTTACTGGTTATTGGCATTTACTTTTTAAACCTCTACCCTCAAAGTTAAGCCTTTTGCCCCGCTAATATTCGGCTACAATTGATAATCAAATTTTAGGTATTTTTGTTACCTGGGGTAGGAGTTAGGCGCTATACCTTATTAAATTTAATAATTGTTAGAATATTTTGATAGAATTGGCTCAAAGTGGGACTCGAACCACGTTTGGGATTGATTAACATCGGGTTTTGAGAGGTTTATCGTGAAGAAACCCATGACGGATACGATTTTAAAAAAGGCCCTCTCGGCGTCCACACAAGGCAGGGTAAAGAACAAAGGAAAAATAAATTACTCACGAAAATTTGATGTTTTCGAACTTGAACCCAAATCTTCAGAGCTGCTATCGTCTCGTCAATGCGAAATGTACATTTTCATTGCAATATTTAATGCAATAAAAGGAAGATGAAATTCATCGATGGAATACAAATTTCAATAGAAATTTTCTTGAATTTTCAAAAATAGCCTTAAGTCGTTCATTGTTCTTGTTGATCTTCAACAGACGAAGCCATTGTCTTCTATTATTTTCAGAATAAAAACTTAAAAAAGCTAGATTCATTTACCGTAAATCGCGCTCTTGCCTTAAAGAACGAAAACTTAATTAAAAAAAAAGAAATCAAAATAGCAGCTCAATGGATAAATTAACTTTATTTAACTTTTTTGAATTCATTTACAATTTTTCCTTCCACTCTAGCAAAGAATTTCAAATAAGTTTATTGTGTAGCATATTTATTAATTAATAGTCCTGTTTGCTACAGTCAACAATTATATTTAATTGAAGAAAACAAAATATTTTGAGGCAATGTCCGATTATAGAAACAAAGTCTAGACCTAAACCATGGTTTAGACCCGTATCCACGCTAGTTTAAGCTATGAAAATAATACTTAACGATGGATAATTACTACTTCACTGGCAATGATTAGGAGGTTCAGTGTGTGGTTTAGACTAGACCTAGTTTCTCTAGTCGACCGTAATGTTTTATTTAAACTACATTTAGAATGGTTATTTTCATCTTTTTTAAAAAATATCTAACAGCAAATAAAACTGAATTTAATTAAACAAACACAAAACAGAGCTTCACAGATGGTCTTTTATCAAATGAAACTTTATTAAGCTCAGTTTAGCCTAGTAAGTGAAGCTTTCTGCAATGCAACAGAACATCACACAATAATTTCTACGAAGAAAAATTGTCTCCACCCTATGTAACAAGTTTCAGTTTACACTAAACAGAACAGCTTGAAAGATGGGTCCTATTATTTGGACGAGGAGTTATTTGTGTTTAGGGCTAGACGCCACGTTGAATCAAAATAATGGTGCATCTGGATGACGATCGGCTAAGCAAGCGTGTCAAAATTGTCCGTTTCACGCGAAACGGATTACGCCATTGGCTTGCTTCAATGGAATTACCCATAAGGCATATCAACTAGTTTTCGATTAATCGAAACAATATGTCATGGTGTTTTCTTGCTCTGTATTCTTCCGGTTTACTTAGCTTTAACGTAGACAACTCGTGGAGTCGTTTAGCATCTTGATGAAAGCTAATAGATTGTTGATAATGCCATTTACTAATCGATAAACAATACAGCGTGGACGTAACATATATACGAATAAACAATATTTGGTTAGCTACACGAAAACATTATTTCGAATAAAACGATCACATCATTGGCTTGTTTAATGCTCGTATCTAATGTAATGAACGGTACATAACGGTGTTAAATGAAAACAATTCGGATAAAAGATTTTATTAAATCTGATAACGATACGTTTATTTAATGGTTTAATATTTCATTGGCACTCCAATGAATCATTCGCTCGCACATGTCGTCTTGAACAGAAGACAAGCTACAATTTTTACAAATCACTCGTTTATTTATTTATTGTTCATTACTTAAACTACACACAAAACACGAAAGACATTTTAACTGTTTACGTTAAAAAACGGGCGGATTACCGTAGAAGAATTTTTAGATTCGCGTATTAGATTAGGAAATTTTCGGCGATAGTTGAGTTTCTTCTTTAATACAAGAACCTCTTGTGCCAAGCTCGTTTTTACGACGTTTTGAAAATTCTCACTTCTGAATATCGTAAGAAATTTATCGCGTAACGTTATAAATAAATTCACAATTGATGGATTAAGAACAATGCAACACTCGGGAGGACTTTTTAGGTGTTAACACGCGAAGAAAACTTCACGCGGTTACCATCGGGCTAGTGGGGCACGAACCCTCAACCAACTAGTGCTTTTATCCACTCGAATCTCAAATACAAGATTTCCACTCACACTCTCTTTAAGCGCACTGTTGATATACATCTATCTACTTTAGAAATATGTAGTTACACACTTAATCAGCAATTTCTTTGAATAGTTTAAACTAAGAAATTGCTATCAAATTTTTATGTATCCGTTGAACACAAAAACTCAGAGCAAATTCAATTTTATGACATCTCAAGAGTGTTTCATTAAAGCACACGAACAACAGAAAACAATTTCTTCTGACAAAATCTTTATTTAACAACATATATATATATATATAAGCAGTTTTTTTCTTAAGTTTGAAGTTGTTTTATCTCTGTGAAACAATTAAATTGTGAATTTAAAGTTTTACATTGCATAATAAAAGAATTTTAAGTTAATAAATGAACTGTGTATTATGTAAATGTTGAATTAAATCAGCACTAATATTTGAAGGTGATAAACATAAATTTTGTAATAAAAAGAAACACAAACAAATTAATTGAAATGTTCATTTTATCTGTACAATTGCAAATACACAAACTGAAAAAAATGATATAAACTTAATAATTATGAATTGATAACTCTGAGTATGTCCACGAAATAAAATTTTTACTGCCGGATATTTAAAATATATTTTTATAAGATTAATGAACGTGAAATGATTCATTTATGATAGTTTGCGAGGAGGAGAAGTTTTAGTTTTCAAAACTTTTAAATAGTTGCCAGATGAGGGATTATTTTGCATAAATTTAACCTGGCATCAATCTGCAGAAAACTGCAATCTCTTCTGAAATAAATTACAATATAAACGTTCAATAGCAATAACAACACATTGCATAAAAAAGAAAACTTTATGGCAAGAATTGGAAAAAATCATATTGTACATGCTGATAAAATTAATTATTTTGAACAAAATAAGTTAATCTGGAAGCTTCTACAATATTTTATCTCAAATTGGTCATTTGAAATGATCATTTTGCATTATTAATTAAATGAAAAATTGAAATGTTTGCAATTAATTTAGAAATGCAAGAATTTTGTGTGTGCAATTGAAATTTATTGCATATTGCCAAGCAATGTGCAATAAATGAATATACTGTAGGTGATGGTTTCGATGGCACCATTCATCTCAAAACAATTGTAAAAGAAAACACAATGGGATTAAATATGATATTTCAACATTCTATATATTAGTCATGATGCCACTAAACCACAAGTTGATCTATTCTAGAAATGCATTCTCATTAAGTTAAATAAAAACATCAACCTTCGTAATTCTTTCTCAAATTTGTACCGCTTACTTCATTACATTGGCAATGGTGGCTAGATTAAGCTTTGTCAGTATTTAAGATATTTCTCTATAAAGGATTGCGCACTATCTTCACAGAAAAGAATTACTCTTTAAATATCAAACAGGCTTCTTACAAATTCTATGGAAAATGGGTGCATTCCAGTGTATGTCAAACAACATATTGGTGAACTGCAATGTACTAAAATGTGTTCCGATATTCACCAACTAGTTTTGGTGCAGCGACTGATGCACATCACAATAATCAGGCTGTGGATACGATGAGCTCCGATGAAGCAATATATTTGCCTCCATGGTTATTTAACACCATTTTATTACTCATCTGTATTAATCCAGTTATTTTGACAAAAGTCTGCAAATGCCAATGTAGCATCTTTCACTTCTGCTGTCTTGTTATGTTGCCAGATGTTTCAGTAAAAGCTCATTAAACCATTCATCAGTGTGTCGATTTACTGAGACCAAACATACATGCATCCAATTACTCAACAGTACTGTACATCCTGGAACATTATGACTTCCATGTCTCTACAGCACTACAAACTGCCAGAAACAAATCAAACACCAACATTTGCATGTTTTCAGAAGTCACAACTTTCATTAAATGTAAATGAACTAAAAATCATGCAGAACTAGAACCTGCCAACAACTGCAATGTAAGCAATCCAAATGACTGCATGCTACATGCAATATAGCATGCATTCACTAAATAAGTATGGCATCATGGGAATTTTAAGTATTCTCTCACACTTCTGTGTGAAGAGTTATCAGTTAAGAGTTATTTTTGAAGCCACAATGAAGTGTTAGCGTGCAATTTTATTCAATATAGCGTAATGCAGCACACATGATCAAAGAACTTCAACTTTGTACAATTAAAAACAATGCTAGAATGTCAGTTAAAACTTGTTGAATCTTCTTGTTAAACCTGATGCAGACTTATGAAAAGAAGTTGAAACATTCGTTTATAAATTTACTTTGATCATGCAGCTCATTGTATCACTATTTATAAATGTGCTGCCCACACAAGATTATATTTATTCCCTGCTTAGACAACACGTATAAACAAGTTAATAATATATTGTTTTATTTAATTTAAAAAAAAGCAACACCTTAAATACTTTTTGGCACTACTTTAACTAATACAGAAAGATTGGTCAACCAATTATTGTGCAACTCTCACAAAGAATGTTATTCCAAAACAATACACAAATTATAATCCTTAACACAATCTTCTGTCGTCAATAACACACACACACACAAAACAAAAATCCACCGCTCTCTCGTCAAATACCTTTTACTAAGCAAGGGAGTGGCTGCAGCACACACCTCCCATTTTTCTTGAGTTAAAACAATTTCCATTCTGTAAATTCTGGAAGGACGAAATTTTCGACGAGGATCGGATTGACGTCACACAGTATTATTGATTTAACGTGCCACATAAGAAACTATGAATCTCACACGATTCTAAATAACATTAACTATAAAAGTTCCTTGCCATTTCATTTTTCTACTTAGAAATTTCGTAACAATTCTTAAAATCTTCTCTGTATGTGTTTCAAGAAGTCGAATGTGTAATGTTAAAAATTTGAATATCTTTTAAATGCAAATTTTAAAACAAAGCGTCACGTTCTAATAATACAGTAGAGCATCTTTCACTATCCTCTATCAATGTTATCATCATATTAGTTAACGCAACATACATACATTAAAACTGAAAGTATAAATGCAAACTAGATAAAAAACATAGATTTATTGAAATAACGTTAATACAATGACATACATATCAAATTAACACACACATACGCGCACGTGCTTGGTTTGAAACAGTAACACAACTTGGTTTAATTTCAGAAAGAATTTTTATTGTTATATCAATAATATATGAGTCGAATGTTTCAGAATGTAAACAGAATGTTGTAAATTTGAGAACTGTAAACATAAATTGTTCGAGTTATGGCAGCGTTATCTCTTCAGCGGTGTCTGAAAACTTAAATTTATGAAACGAGGACAATTTCCTGTCTATATAATACTGTACACTGTAGTAACTAAACAAGCTATGGCTTAGGGCCTCACTTTTAACAGGATATAGTTTAAGGCCTCACATTTTGAAGCTTATTACTACTTGATGAAAGAAGAATGACTTCTTATATGATGCTGGCTGTCTTATTTCAAACTTAAGACATTCTTTGACATTTTAGAAAGGATTTTCAGAAAAAATTGGCTGACAATTAGAATAAATATAGTTTTAGAAATTTATTAGAGTAAGAATATTAATTATACTTTGTTTTAAATACATTATTAGCAAAAATTATAAAATTTTCATTAAACAGACTTTTAAAGACCTGCTGTATCTTTAAATTTGGAAACACGTGAAAAAATGTCTTAAATTCAAAATAATATACAGTAAAACCTGTCCAAAATGGAACCTTAATAAAACAGAAACTTGCCTAAATGGGAAGAATGCTTAGAAACGCAGCGATTTTCTGCATATAAAAGAAACTCATTCAAAATGGAAACCTGCCATACTGGAAAAAATAAGTCCAGTTTATGCAGATTTTACTGTATATTAAACCTTTTTTAATTAAATAGAATCTTGCGATATAAGATGCTCTACTGTAATCATGTTAAAAATACTTTTTGATTAAAAAAAAACAAAAGGATGTTTGTTCTTGACGTACCGTACAAAATTCGTTATTCTCCCATACCTTATTAATAAATAAGAATACTTACTCACATTCTTAAAACAACATTGAAGTAATCATCACCAGACGTAAACAATAAAAAACTTTATTATATAGATGTTTGATGAGTGTATATGCACTGAACAATAAAATTCAGTTTTACATCGGTAATGCAATCAAACATTTAATACCAGCATGAAAAGTGATTGAAAATGAAGTGAATACAAATCAGACTACAATACAGTTATGTGTACTTTTAATGACAAATAATCAATACTATTCGTATTCTTATACAATCGAATGCGCATTTTAAAATCTACCGCCTCTACCGTGGAGAGATTGATTCCCCATTTGGGTGCCTAATAGAGGGTGTCTCGCACCAGACACTCCTCTCATTAAATTCGAGTTGTTTTGAAAATTATTATTTGGCGCATTGGGTCGAGATCCCTGTGAATTAATATTACTTCCTCTTGTGTTTGATAAATTTGTACCGAGATTTCTGTTTCCTCCTCCGCTAGTACCTTGCGATAAACTGCTAGACAGATTCAGATTTCTTTCCATATTAATTCCTGCATTGTGAAACTGAGTTCCCAAATTTTTATTAAGATTTGCAGTCTGTTGAAGACTTCCAGTCAAACCAAAACTTCTGTCGGGATTCATTCCGGTGTTACCACGCATTTGAGAACCCAAGTTGGTTCCCATTAATTGATTCGTCTGTGAACTCATTCCCAACTGATCGGAGTACCCGATATTTTTATTCAAACCCAAGTTTGGAGAATTCAGAGTTCCTGTATAATCATTTTGCATTCCCATGCTACCCATACTTCCTAAATTTGCCATTCCCGCGCCGGCTCCAGATGTCATCTGACCACCCAAACTTCCTCGTAATAAATTAGGTGACTGTATTAGAGCAGAGCTCGCGTCTTGACTTCCTGCCGATGTCATACCAATGCTTTCCAATAACTTTGGTCCAGTTTGAATGAGATTATCCAATGCTTTCTTTACATTAGGATTATCAAAATTTATATATGTCGAACTCTGTTGCGAAGTTTGTCTCTGTTGAATGTCTAGACTTTGACCAATTCCGGTCGACTGTCCGACAGTAGCCTGCGCTTTCAAACCAAGGTTAATATTTTCGGCAGTTGGTGTCGGAGTTTGACCAATTATACTAAATATTTTCTGCTGTAATTCTTGTTGTTTCAAAGCTACTGACTGGTCATTATCTGTAAGAAAAATCTACATTTAGTATTAGAAAAATTGATATTTAATATATAAGCTTATACGAATTATGACTTAACCAATTTATTTATATATCGAATTCATATAAAGTCTTAATCTGAAAAGTTAATAGTATAATAATTTATAAATTATACTGAAATTAATATATTGTTTTGTTAATTGCATTCACAAAATTTTAAAAATATAAAATTCCAAAAGTTTCATGCATAAAAGATTGCTTACAAGTTAATATAGATAGCATTTATTTTACCAATTGTAAAATTATTATATAATTATAATACAGGATGCTTCAAAAAAAAAAAAAAAAAAAAAAAAAAAGTTTAG